TTTTTGACAAGATATTTTGACAGTTGGTCTTAGGGGCTTATGGAATTATTTACACCTGTTTATAGTGAGTTCTTGAAATCCATAAGGCATTCACATACAAGCTGTAGCTGCTAGACAATCGAGTTTTTAGCTTGAAATACAGCCACAAAATTAGCATGGAAGCCCGGAACGGATTCCTCTCCGTATATTAATATCACCCATTCTTTAAGTACGTAAATTCAAAACCTACAAACAAAGTACACATTTTTGTCTTTTCTTACTTAGGGCATGTTTACATGGAGGTGGGGGACCCCACGTAGGTGAGGTAACTCGCTTAGATGGGGTAACCCACCTGTCCATATAATCTCTCATTTCAATTTGATCACGTTTACATGATAGGTGGGGTGACCCACCACATGTTAGCTCACCTACCTAGAGTCCCCCACCTCCATGTAAACAGGCCCTTAGACTTTTGCCCTCTTGTCGCGCTGGTTGGTCGTGTACGTGTACATGTACCTCAGTGTTTGTCAGGTAACACGTTAAAATAACAAGGTCATGCATGGTTCCTCCTTGAATTGTTATTGGTTGTTTGAAATTTCAATTTCAACTTGACTCCCAGGGGGATAGACTAAAATTTTTGGCCCCGACGACTAAAACGGTCTCGGATGTACTCGTCTCATTCTAGATGATACTCTTTTCCACAAACAGGTAGATTTTTTTGGATCAACAGGCTTTACTTAGTGGAATCCGAAAAAGCGATATCTCTCGACTTTAGAGTGGAAAAAACATTAACGGGCAAAATGGAGTCCCGAAACCGTAACTGGTGTAAACGGAGAGAAAAAAAAGGGAGAATGTAAAGGCATTATCCATTGTGACGGGAGCAAGAATTGGGACAGTTTCAAATGGAATAGCACTTCATTCAAAAAGCTTCGGAATAAAACATAAGAAAATCTAAATCAAATTCAGAGCGCTCTGCCCAACTGAGAAGTGTCGGAATTACCCGCCGGAAGTACTTGCGCGTTGAAGCTTAACTTGCATAAAGTCATGTCCATGCGAATCTCTCTGCCTTAAAGCTTAGGGGTGTGAAACATCGTTTTGATACTATTTAGGGTTAAACTTTAGCTCTATCAACTCTAGGGCAACAAATGCCAATGTAAAAATAACTCCTTGGCGTGGCAACGTGTTCAGCGATGTGTGAGTTCAAAATCTCTTGAGTGAATCCAGAGGAACCCGCACCACGCAAGTTATATTCATACAACATGTTTGTAACAATTCATTAAGGAAACAACTTATTGCCAGTTTGGCGCAGACGCTACTTCTCGAATGGCCGACAATGCTCATTTGATCAGCATCTGCACAGCGAATTCCTTCCAGTAGTCGCGATCCCGCCACGCTCCAGTAAACGAACATTGCCTAGTTTCAAACCGAGAGGGGCTGGGTACGAGTCCTTTTTTATGGATAAAAAAAGACCCTTAGAAAGAGCACATTCAGGTTAGCAACATTCTTAAGTTTGGTTTTTATCGGGCCTATATTGAAGGAGAAACAGCCATTCCAAAATTTACCAAGAGGTAATAGGTCTTTTGCATCAGTTGGTCACGTGATGAACTTCGGTAAACACGAAAAAAGTTCGCTTTTGAAAAAAATTGTTAGCACGAGCTGAAAGACCATATTAAAATTAAGAAACCTGTAAATTTTCTGCCGTATATCTCAAAAAGTAGTGAGTGCAACGGCCGCCAAAAATTAGAAGGATTTGTATGAGAAAAACAACTCTTGCCAACCAGTCACACTTCAGTGGTTTTCCATACTGCAACTCCTTCTAAATTCTGAAATTTTTAAACTGTTGTTAAATCTGTCTCCAATTCTCCCAACCCTCTCTTGTTTATATCAGGTTATGCAAACACGGAGAACGTTTTCTATTGCTTGAATAGACATCCGGACGCTGTGTCCCGCAATCCATACATTTCTTATTAATTTTCACGTTTTTAAATTGCTGTATCTTGTTCAGTATTATAGCCCGATCGACACAAAACTTGACATTTTCCTAACGTCAATGGGCTCTTCCTGACTATGTGGGTCTCGTCAGGAGTCCCTAGTCTCGTGTTGTTTATCCCATAAAAAACCGACCTGCACCCAGCCCTCCTCGGTTTCAAACTAGGCAATGAATTTTGTTGTCAAAGTAGTGGAAAATAAACGGTACCTAAGACATTTAACGTAATTAACCTCTCTCGTTTCTCAGTATATAACTTTCATGACATGATCGTTTCACCGGGAATTAACCTCAATGACATTTTCCTCTCCGTTATATACTTTGCAATTATGTATACTCACATGTACTTACAGAGTTCTTCATTTGCGCTATATAGTGCTAAATGAAAGTTTAAGTTTACTTATAGCTATAGAATAAAATGATGAGCGCCATCACTTTCTTATCAATAATTACACCCTTTTTCTGGTCGAAATTTTGTGGTAAACGCCTTAGCACTTTTCTAGGAAAAGTGGCAACGAATGAAGAATCCTGTGCTTAAGTAACATCAATAAAAGAAATTAAAGTTATTCTGTTAAGTCACTGTCGATATAGGCTGCTTATTCCAACCAATTTGCATTCACGAGATCCAAACAGGTTAAAGGATAGGTGCAACCAAATTAAGAACCGCATCATTTTCACCCAAGTTCAAAAGCGTAGTACAGAAAAATATATTCTTTCTCAGTTTTTTTCTTTGCGAGGATAATAACGCGTTTTGAAAAAAAATGAAAGTAAGCTTTATAAGAGTGATATTATTGTCCGATTTATCTATTCGAACTTTTTGAGCAGTAAAATTTGCAAGCAAGTGTAATTGTTTATAATATGTTGTTACTCGAGAAGGAGATTGGGGGCCAAATGAGACCGATTTTTATTGCGCTTGAGTTGCGATTTTAATCCATCTTTAGCGGTTTCCTTTGGTGAGCTAACATCGAAAAATTACTGACTTTTCATCAATCAAAGGCAGAAAAGTCATAAATGGCACTTACGTTTTCAAAACGACTTTGCGGGGACTGTACCTTTTTAAGAATGGGCTCGACAACACAGCACAACCGGGAACTGAGAACCAAATGCCAGTGAGGTCAAGGGAAGAGTTTTCGAGGGTAAAATCACCTGGCCCCGGTTGCTTGAAGGTCGATTAGCGATTAACCTGGGGTTGAATTTAACCCGGGTTTCTTTTTCTTGTGTTCAAAAGCATAATTTTTTTTTCAAAAGCATTTCTGTTATGTTAAGAGTTTCCAATCATCAACATGTAGACATAAAAAATTAAAACTAAAATGCTTTTTAAGCTTTAAAATCTGAATTCAAATTTCGCACTAACCCTGGGTTATCTTAACCCAGCTTTGAACAGCTCGGCCCTGTATATTAATCAGACGTAGAAAATCTAGAAAAATTAACTGTGAATACAACGGTGTGCATTTTATACTTTATTCATGCAAAAACGATATCTGGGCCTACAAACAACGAAGCCAGGAAAGAGTTTATAGGAAGACAGTCACAAGTTATTGCACAAATATAAACGTGCCATCAAAGATTGAGGGATTACAGTTTTCAGTTTTCTTGAGACACTTATAACTGGTCCTAGAATTCTGCATACATACTGTGCATTCTAAACATTTACAATACCCTCTGGGTCATTAGTTTGTGAGCAAATTTGTTATGAACAAATTCTGTTTCATTTATACATTTCTTGATCACTGTAAGTCTAAAGAAACGTGACCAAATAGCTAACATATGAAAACAGGACAAATTAAACACGAAAACAGCTTAAAATAAACTACTGGCCATAAAAGATCCACTATTTAAGTAAGTAGTGTACACTTTGTACCAGTATACATCTGTAAAGAATATGTGATACATATATATTAGGATGCAAATGGGGCATATACCATCATGTCCCATCATATTTGCAGCCTTAGTAGAGGAAACTGGTTATGAAAGCCGGCAAACTTAAAAGATCAAATCAACGGTGCCGCAGTTTATCTTGATTAAGTTGGAAGCTTAAAAAATTGTTAAGAAATTGATTGAATAAATTAATGCAACGTTGTGAAACAACAACAACAACAACAACAACAAACAAACAAAAAAAGCAAAATGATAGGAATGTCATTGAACGCTGTGCACCGTTAAACAAACAAACATATAACAAAGAGATCTGACAGGCTTCATAACCATTTCTCATTTCATACCTGCTACGTTTATTTTGCGGTTGCAAAACGGAAACGTCTGAGAAATTTGATTCTTCTATAATCTCGTTCCCAGGGTTCTCCCTGGTTGCAGCTGGTCATGTGACTTTCTGTGATAATGGACTCCTCATCGGAGTAGGGTTTTTAAAAACACGCGATCTCTGAAGTTCAAAAGTTAACTGATGTTTTCGTTTTTCGCTGCCGTCAGTCATCTAGGCGGACCTGTTAGGAAACAGAGTATACGCACTACCCCACCCTTGAGGTCCTTGAGGGAAAACCACCGTGGGATCCACGTGACTAGCCGCAACCAGGGTTCTTTCTCAAGGTAAGAGAGAGAACACTGGAAACGAGGTTGCTTGTTCTAACAATTTATGTTCGGTATACAGCTATAAACAAGAGCTTTATAAAATTCAAAACCTCATCAATTAAAAAAAAATCGTTTGTTATATTGAGGACTTCGTTATATAGAGGTTCGTTATGTCGAGGTTCCTCTGTATATACATTTCAAATTAATAGCTGCCTTTATTGGATTTACTAATTAAAGATTTTCTTTCTACTTGATTAATCGCCAAAAATGCACGGTTCTCTAGTTTCAATAGCCCTCAGGGGCGGATCTAGGGGGAGGGTGCAGGGGGTGCGCAACCCCCCCCCCCCCGATCCGCCCCCGGCCCTTGCTGTGAGCTTATGTCTATGAACAGACTACACTTTTGAAACAGGGCTTACTGAACATAAAAGTCAGCCATAATTTAATCTATTAGATTGAAATGCATTTGCATTTTAAAGGTTTCCCTGGTGCATATTGTTTATCCTTTGATTCACGCGTACCACGCATAAACATCAGCACATGTCTGACCGCCGTTGTTGTGTTCTGAACAATCCCTTAAGGTGACTCGACCCAGTTTTTTTGGGGGGGGTACCATCCTACTTTGAAGCTCTCTGGTATCCCCACCTTTACTTTTATCGTAAGTCTAACACGTAGAATGGATAACATATAGATCAATCTACAATATAACATAAAATTTTTGGCGATCGGAGTAAATGTCACGTGGTTATAATGCCACGCCCCTTTGAGGTCTGAGTCGAAAATCTGCTGTTGCCGGCATTTTTTCGTGAAAATCTCTCAGCTACACATAGTGCGCATTAGTGCCTTGCGCTGAACAGAGTTTCACCAAAATCGCAAAGACCCAATTCGAGAAATTCAGCGGTTTCCAAATTTAGGTCATAATTTATGCGAAAATGATAAGCAAACTTTACACGGATTATATCTAATAAACTATGAGATTCATCCCTTTATTTTGGACATCGTTATAACAGATGGGTCCTTGCAAGTCAGCAAAACGCTTTAGGGCCTTGTAAATGCGGGCGATTTCGAGCAAAGCAAACATATAGAAATTATAGTTTTCGCTATTTGTTGACGTTTGTCAGCGTTTAAGAGTCCTTCTCACGAAAAAAGCATTTTCTTAAAAATTCGTAGTTTTTTTTCCTTCAAATTTTTTCAGGGCCACAATTGATTAACTAACTACCCGGACTCTGAATTTCATGGTCATTGAAAAACTGTGACATTATCTTCTATAAGCCCAAACTTGAGTAAACATTGAAGATTTTTAGCGTTTTGGCTGAGTTTGTGCTTTGGGAGTTGTCTATTGTTTCTAGTCTGTCATTATACAGCATTCTTGTTCAGCACGCGTGCAATGACCGCGCTTGGCTGACTTCCGAATGCTCACCGAGATATAATAATTTTGGTACAGTGAGACAGGCCATCGCGTGATACATAGAGGTTTAAGTCACAATTTTTAATCAATTCTCGTGCTTCTTGTGCCTTTGCAAAAAAATCAAGAAGTGCTACACACTAAATCTACTTACTATTAAAAAAATATCATTTTTTCATAGGTTTAATGCAAGCCAATAATTAAACCAACTCGTGACGGGAATATCTCGGTGAGCATTCGGAAGTCAGCCAAGCGTGGTCATTGCACGCGTGCTGAACAAGAATGCTGTATAATGACAGACTAGAAACAATAGACAACTCCCAAAGCACAAACTCAGCCAAAACGCTAAAAATCTTCAATGTTTACTCAAGTTTGGGCTTATAGAAGATAATGTCACAGTTTTTCAATGACCATGAAATTCAGAGTCCGGGTAGTTAGTTAATCAATTGTGGCCCTGAAAAAATTTGAAGGAAAAAAAACTACGAATTTTTAAGAAAATGCTTTTTTCGTGAGAAGGACTCTTAAACGCTGACAAACGTCAACAAATAGCGAAAACTATAATTTCTATATGTTTGCTTTGCTCGAAATCGCGCGCATTTACAAGGCCCTAAAGCGTTTTGCTGACTTGCAAGGACCCATCTGTTATAACGATGCCCAAAATAAAGAGATGAATCTCATAGTTTATTAGATATAATCCGTGTAAAGTTTGCTTATCATTTTCGCATAAATTATGACCTAAATTTGGAAACCGCTGAATTTCTCGAATTGGGTCTTTGCGATTTTGGTCAAACTCTGTTCAGCGCAAGGCACTAATGCGCACTATGTGTAGCTGAGAGATTTTCACGAAAAAAAGCCGGCAACAGCAGATTTTCGACTCAGACCTCAAAGGGGCGTGGCATTTTAACCACGTGACATTTACTCCGATCGCCAAAAATTTTATGTTATATTGTAGATTGATCTATGTGTTATCCATTCTACGTGTTAGACTTACGATAAAAGTAAAGGTGGGGATACCAGAGAGCTTTAAAGTAGGATGCTACCCCCGCAAAAAAACTGGGTCGAGTCACCTTAAGTCTTGTCCGTACCAAATTTGAAACTCATCTCCAACAGACACAGATATTGGAGTGGGAAGATTGTTAAATCGAAGTTCGTTGTCATTAATACCTACACCTTCGATTTTATATAGAGGGTCACAACCTTTTTCCCTGTAATCTGCCAACAAAAGAGCGGATCTGTTCTTGAACGTTATGACGGTTAGGAGTCTCGTGTCTCCAAACGAGGGATGATCACATCCCCAATAAGAAAGTGGGTAATCGGTGTTACATGTAATTGACCCACTCAGATGAACGAGTTTAAAGGTATAAATGACCCCACTCTCTCTGATGTTGAAAGCCCCATATGAGTCATCTCGAGCTCCAAAGCAGACTGGGCCAGTATTGATCTTCTTCCACTTCTCTGAAAAACATTTGAACGCAAAATTTAAACTAAGTTGATACTTTAAGTCGAGCACGTGTTATTCTGCTTTCGATGAGTGTCAGTAAATTGAAGTAATTAAGAGGACAAGGCTCAAGGAAAAGAGATAAATGTGGTCTTAGAATCTGGGGTTTTTCATGATAGGGATTGAGATTAGAATGTATTACGACCTCGGGTCTAGAGGATATTGCATATTAGTAAAATCCAACTAGTGGTCTATTACCAACGCTGCGTTCTGATTGGTTGAGCTACTACTAGGCTATATGTTATAGCCCACTAGTAGCGAAAAGCGCCGGCTTTCTGGCGGCAAAAAACGAGTTAAGTCTAGCTTTAACTAGCTAAAATTTTTCTATTCTCGATATTTTTGACTAATTAGTTGGATTTTACTAAAACAATTATTCCTCGCGCCCTTATGGCCTCTAAGTCAATAGCCCATGCGGCCTTCGGCCTCATGGGCTATTGACTCAGAGCCAATTCGGGCTCGAGGAATAATTGTTAATTATACTATCATGTTATACTATTATTATATTATACTATACTCTGAAATGACAGGCCATTGACATTATATCATCAACTGACGTGATGCAACTCACTTCGACTCTGAAGATGACTACCGCACAGGTTGTCGAAACGTCAGTCACTGTCAACAACAACAGTCCTATTCAGGAACAAGCAGCATTTGGTACGAGGTAAGAGTGGTGTGTTGCCTACCGACCCCCTTTTTACACTCTGAAGCGATAAGCCCCGCGCGAAATACTCGCGCGAGAAATTTGAGACAGATCCCCAGTCATGTACATTTCAACAGTTTGACAGCCGAAATCTAATTATCTCAAAAGGGGCGGAATAGATTCGTAAAAGAAATGATTAAAGGCTCTCTCTCCTCTTCCTTTTCCCTTTTCCCGTCCAGACCCCCTTTTCGCGCACCTTTCACTTTCGCGTCCTCCCCACTATCTTAGATCCTGGAACAGGCTACATGGTAAATGACCCTTTTACCGCGGGAAATTGGCGAGGGTCGTGTGACCCGACTTTCCTGAGATAAACTTGCCGCATCTGTGGTTATGTCAAAAAAAGAAGGAAACTGCCCACGACATTTAACGTGGTGAATAGCTAGGGTTTTTCGAAACCCAAGACAAGAGAGCCAATCAGGTTTCTACATTTAACATCAACATGAGACCGCAAAAAATTGCATTTTTTAAACGGGTTTCTTTCTCGCTGTTGAGAGAAAAATAGATGTTGACATGACAGATTTTATTTTCAGATGGCTGTAACAGGGGCATTTTAAGGCAAAAGTTTGAACTGGTTTTTGGGCCAGATGTAGGAACGATATTTCGCGAAAATATATTCTATTCCTGGCATATAATGCTGGCTCCCAGTCAAACAACAGCTATACCTTCGACTTGCTGTTTTAGTATTTAAGTGCATGACTGGGTGTGCTTCAGCGTACTTAACATCAAAGTTCGTTAAAAGATCGGCCGTTTCCAGAAGGACAACCAGGAACTCAGAACTGTTGATAATACCACTCCTCCACACTGCTAGTGGCCAAAGGTCCGTCGAATAAGACCGACGTCCCTTTGGAATAAGTTACAACCAGAGCTCAAGCTAAGAGAATCCGTTAAGGTGGCTCCGTAATCAATACAAGAGCATTTTGCTGTGACAAATTTTCCGTCATAACTGTTTGTTTTTTAACGCGATGGCTGCGAATCTTTGCAAAGAACAACAGATATCATTCGGCAATAATACGAAATATTCCGATTTCACTGATGGTAAATAGTTCTTGAGAAATTAGCGCTTAAAAGGACCTGAAATTTCTGGTATCGGCTTTAATTGATATAATAAATATGCCAGAGGAATTTCAGAAAAATCGTTGAAGCAGAAGTCCGTAACTAAAAGTCGCTCAAAATTCAGCGGTGAAATTGTTTTGGAATTTCAAAAATAAATTACTATCAGGTAGAAGGAGCTACCAGTTCGAATTTTCGGGACAAGTAAATTCAACGTTTGCTAATTCTTAAAACAAAAGCCGATTGCCTATCGTGCTATTCTTTAAAAGGTACTTTTTAGATTTAGAAGCACTATAAATTGCTCCAAACCTTGCTCTGACGTCGAATGACTTTTCTTCGACATTTTAAAAATATATCTCTTGGCAGTTTTGGCTCAAACTCCTGCTGCATACATTTTGATGTATTTCAATGCATTTTCAACGACTTTAACTGCTGTTCGTTGCTTCCAACTCAGGAAAAAAGTATTGAGATTGGACGCTACCTCGTATCAGAGCTCAAACAGAACTGTACAGCACCTTTGTTTATGACTACAAAATGAGCACGAGCGGCAGTTCTGCGAGGAATTCGCATATCACCGAGGGGGGAAGAACGACAATGATGACCAGAGCCACTGTTAGCGATTTTACAAAATTTGCGAAAACTGCGACAAATATCGCAATCCTGTCGATTTTTCGCGCTACTTGCGATTTTCGCAGTTCTTTGTCTTGTTAATGCTCACTTTTCTCATGTTCCATGGTTACCCCCTGCGAATATAGTTTTGTATCGGTTGATTTTTCCCCTGTCCATCCCTGCTGAGGGGATTTTCAACGTGCAGCGTAACGTAGCCAATCGGTAGTTCACCACGAAAAGGAGCCGTTCCACGGATCAGAAGCGCTTAGTTCAAGTCTTTTACCTTGTACGTACATTTCTTGTCCTCTAGAGGCCATGGCTCGATGTTTGGAACTAAATTTACGTTTTCAATCAAGGAAGAGAAATCTTCGGTCTATACTCAAGTAAAGATTTGGAGCGATTGGAGTAGAAGAAAGGCAAGTAAGGCAAGTTTTGTAGGTTTTTCTTTTTTTTTTTTGTTTTTCGGGTAGCTTAGGACAGCCGAGTTTTCTCTTGTCTTCTTTTTAGTAGTTAAGAGCGTGTCTCCGTAAAAACCGACCAGTGATTTTGGATCAAAAAATTAATTTCCCTTATATTCTGGGATATTAAAGCCTTCACCTTAGTAGTTACAAAAATACATTTCGTTTGACCGAAAGTGATAAATGTATTTTTTTACGAATTTTTGAATTTCCGGACGATTAGCGCCGGCGTCATAGCCTTTCAAACTGCAAAAATCGCTAATGTTGACCGCGCTCTAGAAAACGAACACCTCGCTCAAAAAGACTGATTTTCTTTTCTGTATACAGATACACCACTGTAGATTTCCTAGCCTTATCACAGTTCCGAATTATTTATTTATTTCAACGGCAATGATTTTTTCCCCAGCACGTGTTTTCGGCTTTCCATCAAAACACGAAAGTAGCTCAACTTTGAGGGTAATTTTAAAAAGTGTGGCACCTGTCTGAACCTTCGCTATCTGTATGACTACAATCTAGGAATGATAGTAAAACACAAAAAGGAATAACATTTTTGTGCTCTCCACGTTTTCAGAAGAGACCGCCGTTTGAATTTCCAGAAATTTCGTAAACTTGATAATTACCGAACACTCGCCTTGTCGATCTGCTTGTCAAGGTCCAACTTCATTTGATGGCGTGATAGATCTTATCCGAGTTCTTTCACATTTCAAGGTTATTTCTCAATCATCTGAAACTATATTGGCCGTTGATTCCATGTCCTTTGTCCGTTTAAAGAAGTTATCTGGTTTATAAAATGGCAGCCATCCGCGAGCGTGACTGGTTCGTGACACCGTCCTGAAAGGTCTTTTGCTATAAGATTAGTTGGGTGCAACCCTTTTCATTGAGATTATACTCTTCAAGACATCGCAGTGAAATTTCTAGGGCAAATAAAACACGTTTCTTTGCAAATACGACGCGATGAGTCGCTGACAAAGCGTTTTAACCCAGTCTCCTGACAAACTTGAAAAATGCGTGACTTTGTATTTCATCCCCAGTTCTCCTGCATCGGGTGATGACCTGATACGGTAATAATTAACAAATACTAGCTCGTTCACTTGCTTTATTAACTTCTTAGGTTGTAATGTCCCTCTTGGTTTTTGTAGAGGATATTTTTTCTCCTGAAGTAACCGCTTTAACTCTAAAAACATCGATTTCTTTTTTAAAACCTGTCCTTCAACGGCATCTTTTATCTAGTTTGTATAAAAGTGATACAGAGCGCCCGGGAGGAGCGTTATCAGTTGCGAGCGTAACACCGTTGATTCGTAACATTTGCTGTTAAGTTCGATGTAATTAACATTGAATCGCCATACTTCGATAAATTTTCTTCTTCAGCTTAACATAAATACACTGACAAAAATGGTTCAACACATTTCAGCTAAGAGAATTGAGAAACCATGGCCACGCTACTACAGTTTCCACGTCCTTCCCAGGACCCCACGCTGCGCGGAAATTCATTGAACTGGACCCTGGCATTCACATTCCGTGCTGTTCTCATATCCTTTTCAACCTGAACAAGGTCCGCCTTGCGGCCAGTTCGCTCACCAGTTTCAAACTTGGCTGTGAGATATTCTTTAACCTCACGAGAAAACCGGATGGAACCTGCGTGGGCCTTGTTTAGTGCCCATCCCATCTGCAGGGTTTCTACCTGGCTTCTACGTCAGTTGATGATTCGGACGCTAACATAAATGGTGTAGATTTTTCCACAGCCACATCCACTGATGTAAATTTTGTTGCCCAGTCCTTTCTGATCTTGTTTACTCAAGTTTGGGCTTATATAAGATAATGTCACAGTTTTTCAATGACCATGAAATTCAGAGTCCGGGTAGTTAGTTAATCAATTGTGGCCCTGAAAAAATTTGAAGAAAAAAAAAAGACGAATTTTTAAGAAAATGATTTTTTCGTGAGAAGGCTCTTAAACGCTGACAAACGTCAACAAATAGCGAAAAGTATAATTTCTATATGTTTGCTTTGCTCGAAATCACGCACATTTACAAGGCCCTAAAGCTTTTTGCTGACTTGCAAGGACCCATCTGTTATAACGATGCCCTAAATAAAGGGATGAATCTCATAGTTTATTAGATATAATCGTGTAAGGTTTGCTTATCATTTTCGCATAAATTATGACCTAAATTTGGAAACCGCTGAATTTCTGGAATTGGGTCTTTGTGTTTTTGGTGAAACTCTGTTCAGCGCAAGGCACTAATGCGCACTATGTGCAGCCGAGAAATTTTCACGAAAAAATGCCGGCAACGGCAGATTTTCGACTCAGACCTCAAAGGGGCGTGGCATTATAACCACGTGACATTTACTCCGATCGCCAAACATTTTATGTTATATTGTAGATTGATCTATATGTTATCCATTCTATGTGTTAGAATTACGATAAAAGTAAAGTAGGATACCAGAGAGCTTCAAAGTAGGATGGTACCTCACCCCCCCAAAAAAACTGGGTTGAGTCACCTTAAACACACCTTGTCTCTTCATGTCCTCCTAATTTCTCACTCTCAGTGGTTTTCTCCAGCCAACGTTTATTTTCCTCATATTTTTGTCTTTGCGTCTTGACACAAGTAGTGCAAATTGCTGTGCATTAAAAAGTATCACAATGATGAATTTAACTTTTAGTCAAAGTCGATTCGTAGCGTAAAACTTATTTTTAGAACCAACACTGATTGTGATCTATCGGATTGATAATTGACAACTGGCAAAATAAACTCAAAAAAGTTTTTAATCTCCCGGTTAGGTCTTGAGGTGTCGGAAAAATAGTTTTCAGGATATAGCATATAGCAGGGTTAAAAAACTTTTCAAATACAAAATCCCCGATAGTCACAGAAAAGGGTTTTTAAAGAAGGGGAACATTGCCAAGTGTTTCGCATAATTTCGTGGGTCACGTGCATGTAGGCTACTTTACCGAAATTATCTCGTACTTTGAAAAATAGAACGCTATGAATCAACGTAAAAAATAGACAGTCCTGTAAAGACATTCTAAGCACCTTTTACATCTCGCAAAAATCCAGGAATACTTGTGTATTTTTGAACATCTGTGTTGTAACAAATATACTTGTCCTAATTATACTAACGCGCTTGACCAAACAATGTAAAACAAGAATGTTCATTTCATACTTGTTATTTACTCAATCCAAGATTTCTACACTTACATCGTGGCACTGTTGCCAAAAAATATAACTGGTTATGATATAAATAGCCGGAAAAATAAACACCTTATAGAACGATTCCCTTTCAAGGTTTTACAACAACGTTGAATGGTTATTCCCTCGACCTTCTCTTTTAGTCTTTATTTATAATTAGATTTAAAGTTTGTTACACAATTCGGAATACTTCACCATGACATTTACCTTGGTTTTCTGAGTTCTTTTATTCTATTGAAAAATAAAAAGTAAAGGAGCCTCACATACGTCGGTACTTCGAAATGATCATTTCATCATTATCTGAAAGACAAACCTTTTTAAACCCCCTCTTCATCAGTACTCCGTTTTACTGGTATTTAAAGCTACTTGAAGCTACACGGAAAGAATTTCTCACACCTGGCCATGGACATCAATCTCAAGACCTCTCACACAGAAGACTCCAAGGGCTACGCAATAACCAACTGTGTCAATCGTTGCTCCTCAAAAAAGGAAAAACGTAAAATATTGGGTAGTAGAATGCTTACCTGACCCAATGGGAATTGTGATTCCAAAAATTGCGTGAATATTCTTGGACATCTCCAAGTTGATAACATGATCATTTTTTAGCTTTTTCCTTGCTCCTGAATGAAGAGGATATCGACATGTCCTCAAAGGACGCCAGTTGCGACCCAAATTATGTCTGTGTTTTGGACACACGAACATTTCTTCTTGCCGGTGTTTTGGCACATCGAATAGCCCCGCCCTGACTAGTATCAGTTCGTACTCCATCATTCTAGATAGTTTTGAAAGATGGCATGTCTTCAAGTGGATCGTTATATCTTCCTGGCATTCTCGCAACCTACATACTGTATCCGAACCTCGAAAACCTCCACAACTAGATTTTCCGAAGCCCGAGAAAGAACACTTTACTGTATCAGTAGCCATTTTTCCCCCTTGTTTTTTTTGTGTCCAGTACAGGAGGACTGGGGATGAAATACAAAGTCACGCATATTTCAACTTTAATCTGAACTGGGTTAAATCGCCTTGTTAGCGACTCATCGCGTTTTATTTGCAAAGAAAAGTGTTTTATTTGCTCTAGAAATTTCCCCGCGATGTCTTGAAGAGTAATCTCAATGAACAAGATTGCATCCAACTAATTTTAGCAAAAGACCTTTCAGGACGGTGTCACGAACCAGTCACGCTCGCGGATACTGCCATTTTATAAACAAGATAACTTCTTTAAACGGACAAAGGACATGGAATCAACGGCCAATATAGTTTCAGATGATTGAGAAATAACCTTAAAATGTGAAAGAACTTGGATAAGACCCATCAAGCTATCAAATGAAGTTGGACTTTGACAAGCAGATCGACAAGGCGAGTGTTCGTTAATCATCTGGTTTACGAAATTTCTGAAAATTCAAACGGCGGTCTCTTCTGAAAACGTGGAGAGCACAAAAATGTTATTCCTTTTTGTGTTTTACTATCATTCCTAGATTGTAGTCATACAGATAGCGAAGTTCAGACAGGTGCCACACTTTTTAAAATTACCCTCAAAGTTGAGCTACTTTCGTGTTTTGATGGAAAGCCGAAAACACGTGCTGGGGAAAAAATCATTGCCGTTGAAATAAACAAATAATTCGGAACTGTGATATGGCTAGGAAATCTACAGTGGTGTATCTGTATACGGAGAAGAAAATCAGTCTTTTTGAGCCAGGGGTTTGTTTTCTAGAGTGCGGTTAATATTAGCGATTTTTGCACTTTGAACGGCTATGGCGCCGGCGCTGACCGCCCGGAAATTCAAAAATTCGTAAAAAAATATATTTATCACTTTCGGTCAAACGAAATGCATTTTTGCAACTACTAAGGTGGAGGCTTTAATATCCCAGAATATAAGGGAAATTAATTTTTTGATCCAAAATCACTGGTCGGTTTTTACGGAGACACGCTCTTAAGAAACCAAACCATTAACTCGGGAAACTTGCGAATAAGGCGTTTATAGGCCTGGAAACGGTAAGAAACAACATAGACACAACTCTTTATAAGGTACTACACTTAAGTAGCTGTTTATGAATATTAATTTTAACCGGTTTTATCGATCTGACGATAAGTTCCCTTACAAATCCTTATAATTTGGCTTTCAGTAGGCTTTTGTGAGCATAGGGGGCCCACACAATGTATGTGTGTAACCGATTCTTATTTTATAGTTAATGCACTGGATTTACCGCAGTTTGCTTCACCTTTGGCGATATTTCGCTAAGTATAAGTATATAAATCAATGTTAAATAAGTGTTGAATTACCTTACTTGTGGTATATCGTCGTCCTTTGCCTCAAAAATGTCCAGGTTTTTTTGAGCTATTGTGAAGGATTTTGAGTTCGCCGTTTACTGTTCCTTCAATTTCCTTCAAAATCGCTAAAAAAACTGCTTTTGAGGCAAAAGGACGACTATACCACAGGTAAGGTAATTCAACACTTATTTAACATTGATTTATATACAAACTTCAGTAGCGATATATCGTTATAGGTGAAGCAAACGCGGTAAATCCAGTACATTTACTATAAAATAACAATCGGATACACACACACACATTGTGTGGGCCCCTTGTGTTGTGAACAACATGAAGTACAATATCTTAGTACGTACCCAGATCACATTTCTCCTCTCTCCATTGTCTAGTGCATGAGCAGGCAAAGGTTTCTTTTTCTTCATCGAAAACACAAGAACCCCCATTACGGCATCCTGTCATTAGACAGCCCTGAAGAAAATACATACATATACACTTTACCGCGATATGCTAAAACCTGTACCCACTAACAGCTGCTGCCTTTCGTCCTTTTTTTCCCAGCTTCCTTCTACGCCCGCTTCTGCTATAGCAAAAGAAAATGCTTTAGCTGCAATAAAAAATGTCCATAATATTTTGTTTAAAAACATTTTTAAGAAATATTAAAAAAACCTTTAAAATAAGACGACGTTACAATGAGGTCCGCGTCCGAGAAGTCGAAACGTCTTCATCTTTTTTAACGTTTTTTTTTTAGTATTTCTTGAATGTTTTTAAGCAAAATTTTAGCGAAATCTTTCATTGCCAAATATTTTACACAGGACTGATGATATATTAAATATTAGAATCAGCTAAATTAAACTGGGCTCTTTCATGTTACTTAAAAGCAGATAGTAAACTGTTGTCCTACCTTAAGAAACATTGAAAAAGTGGAGCCAGGTTGATCAGTAAGACTGCGGTGTCATCGTGAATCGTTAAAAACACATACTTATGCAGTTCACAATAGCCAGTACCCAATCGCTTCCCAAAGGACTCTCTGAAGTTAGTAGACGTACACCAGGAATGTCTTAAACATGCCTGACTGCATGACAACAGACTGGGTGAATCGATTTTCTTGACTGCTTGTCTTGCTAAGCGCCTATTTTCCTTATTCACCATGTACGCATATCTAAAGTTTTCCGCGGTTGTGAAAGCTGCAGTGACGATCAAACAAAACATGAGAGAAAAATTCATGTTCTCTGAGCACTTCTGTCAGCCAGTGTTTCTTCTCTTCTATCTTCTATGGTGCTTACACCTGTTGGGAAGGTTATAGTATAGAACTTGCCGACTTTCAGATATAAATTAGCATTAAATGGTTTGAATGGCATTTTGTCACATAACAAGGAATCAACTTATTTCTAATTTGGCGAATAAACACGCGAAACGGTACTTCTTAAATTTTCAGCCGTCCACACTTAACTAAGGGTAAACGGCGTTTTCAAAATTTTGATCGCTGGGTTACGGGTTGCAGGAAGCCCAACCCGCGTAAATAAAACAAACAAATAAATACTCGATCCGTTCACAAGTAAATAAGGATATACTTATACGTGTAGAGAAGAACTTGGTCACATATATGTGAAAAAGAAAAGTAATACAGACTCCAAGGAAAAATGTTCCTCTAAAGAAACATTCAAAGTAATTAATTATTTAATGCGGACGATATGACTAATTATTTAAAGAAGAAGACAATGTTAGGAGCCCAGAGTACAAACGATATAGATTACTCCTGCGTTAACCTCAGAAGGCAATTATTGCATCATTAGAAAATAGCCTATAGCTATAGAACGGTCGTGCAATATATACCTTAGTTATTAATTAAATAAAAGTTGCTTTGGCAGTTGGTCGTTGGCAATAGCCCACATTCGATATATTAAAATTCTAACATGACTTCGACGCTTCAGAAATAAAATTGCAATTTTTTCACGACTCCATTGTCTCGCAATCCCCAGGAGAGACTTGAGCACAAAGTAAACCAAACCAAATATAGAATCATTTTAAAGGTGCCTATGGCTAACTCGTGGATTAAATTATTTGAAAAATGAAAGCTGATAATGAACCTGCTATTATTCTACCGATATTGTTTAAGTCTGTCAAAAAATGAAAATGTGTTTAAAACAACAAACGAAAGTAAGAAAACAAAAGAAAACGGAAAAAGAAAAGAAAAAAAAAAGAAAAAGTTTCCTCTGTTGGGAATCGAGCCGCAGACCATAAATGTATAGGATCATCGCTGTATCTATTGCGCCACACCATGAAGGGTGAAAAACCCATGCCAAAATTAACTATTTAACTATTCTGCCGGTAAACGTTGTTTGATGCTGGTAGAGCTTCATTTATGAATAATTCAAAGCTATATTCGAGGTTCTGACGGTGAAAGTTGTATTTTAACTCATTTCGTTGCATTTGAAATGGTCGACAAAGCAAAACCATCTCGAAGTCTCTTGTAGACGGCGTTGTACTACATTTACATGAGAAGAATTACGATTCAGTGACAATAAATATTTCTGTTTTTATTCAACAAAGAGACAGGCACATTTCATTTCAGAATGATATTTTCCAAAAAAAAAAAACTGTGAGATTCGGCATTACGGAATCGCGCCTGTAGATACGCGTCGCTAGTAAATGCAAATTTTTCTGTCAATCAAATGTGTCCTATTATTTGTAGGTGGAAATTGGTAAAACATCGTTATTGTTTTGGAGACAATAGAAGAACAAAAGATAACAGAAAGATCAAGTTATCCGGTCTTAAAGCGTGTTGCGTGACTTAAATCAGTTGGAGCATTTCTCCTAGCTTTCCCGCATTAAAACGTTGGAATGAAAAGTCTGAAGCTTAGCTTTTAAAATCTTGAGAGCCAAAATAAAAGGGGTGCCCCAAAAGGCAAGCATTTGGGAATTCAAAATCGATATTTTTGTCTCCAGCGAAATCCGGCGGATGAACAGTAATTTGCATATAAGCGTAAGTGAAGCGAAATAGATACAAATTGCCGTGGTTGTAAACACAACGTTTCCTCGAAGATTTTTTCCTTTTGAAAGCGTAAATTCGCATGAAAGAGCTCAGCTTGCACAAAATAATATAAAATGAAACGAATCAAATCGAAAAGTGGTTAAAAAAAGTCAGGATATTTCAATTCGATGGAAAGTAAGTGACTGGGTAGGTGATTTGCATACTCATAAAAATAACGTCTAGCGCAGTTCAAAACCGTTCGGCTTCCTGAATTGTTTTCCTGGAATTCTATACATTCTGCTGGCCTAAATCGTTAAAATATGTTATGAAGTCAAAATATTTATCAAGTTGAGCGTTTGCATTTCCTTATAAAAGAGAGTAAAAAAGAAATTAGATTTGAAAGATTTTACCACTAGAAAATATTATAATACAGTCACACCCTCTTAGTACGGACACACCAGGTACAGGGGTTAGTGTTTGCGTTGCAGAGACATCCATAGAGCGATTTTCATATGACCTTGAAATGAAAACGCGCGAACAAAACAGAAACAACAAACGAACGGAAATACAGCGATTTGATTGGTTTATCGAACGGATTCAAACGCGCGTGGCTATTGATTGATTAAGCGAACGCTAGGTGAAAAAACTTCATGCCCGAGAACATTCTAGAAATCAATCGATACTTCGCTTTGACGTCAAACTACAACACGACTGGCCATATTAGGGTTTTCTTTGCGGGAAAACGAAGAGTCCATGTTTTGATCTTTTCAACCATTGGCTAATAAAACAAATAACACTTACCGAGACCATTTTTCAAGGTCATGGGAAAATCGCTCTATCATAAAAACAGAAGATGTATTCCATCTGTAGGACTAAGAAAAACTCATGTCTGTTATGTAAAGGCATCCGTATTATGGAGGTTTGACTGTATTACAAAGATCAAGGAGCGCACTTTAAGAAAATCAGTGGTCAACGAAATTGCTTTCCTAGCGAGTCTGGGCAGTAAACTATACGTTTAACAGCAGACAAAGTTTAGATGTCAGGGCACGCAAAATTGAAAACGGCTTTAAACAGACTTCCCTTTGGCGTAACGCTTAAGTTGATGTTTTAGCTCTCACATTTCCTCTTTCAATGAGGCTTTCAAGAAAGGTCAACACACCTTTTGATATTCTTCCTCGTTCATGCCTCCACGTTTGTGTATTTCAGTAGTAATCACTCCAGGGCTAAACGAAAAAGACGGAACTGAGACAACAAGTATATTGCCGCCATAAAAACGTTCTCTATTTATGTTTGCTTTGAGATATTTCCGAGAGAGAACCTTAAGAAAAAAAATGGTTGTCTTACATCACTATTTTTCCTGAAAAGAAAAAGAAAAGCTTACTTTGACATGAGGTTTTGGATATCTGCAGTTTCATAGGAACGCGTTTCATCATTTGGACTCCAAACTCCGATAAAAAACATATCCGCTAACTTCAATTATGTAACGAAAAAGGAGAATAATTGTGAAAGTGATAATAACGACGGTCATCACGACGCGGAAGATGATGATGATGATGACGACGACAACTTGCCTAGTTCCTAGGTCTCTTTATTCCGCGCGGCCAAAGCTTTTCAGGTCACGTGATCCAAGCAAAATTTAGAGGTATGGAGAAAAATCTTCAACAGTAAGACAAAAATGAGACTGCTCAAAGCATTGGTTTACAAGACGATATTTGCATTTCCAGGTTAAAAATACGCCGCTAAAAGACACAGATGGAAAGGGAATATTCACCATGTACGCATATCTAAAGTTTTCCGCGGTTGTGAAAGCTGCAGTGACGATCAAACAAAACATGAGAGAAAAATTCATGTTCTCTGAGCACTTCTGTCAGCCAGTGTTTCTTCTCTTCTATCTTGTATGGTGCTTACACCTGTTGGGAAGGTTATAGTTAGAACTTGCCGACTCTTCAGATATAAATTAGCATTAAATGGTTTGAATGGCATTTTGTCACATAACAAGGAACCAACTTATTTCTAATTTGGCGAATAAACACGCGAAACGGTACTTCTTAAATTTTCAGCCGTCCACACGTAACTAAGGCTACACGGCATTTTCAAAATTTTGATCGCTGGGTTACAGGTTGCAGGAAGCCCAACCCGCGTAAATAAAACAAACAAATAAATACACGATCCGTTCACAAATAAATAAGGATATACTTACAAGTGTAGAGAAGAACTTGGTCACATATATGTGAAAAAGAAAAGTAATACAGACTCCAAGGAAAAATGTTCCTCTTAAGAAACATTCAAAGTAATTAATTATTTAATGCGGACGATATGACTAATTGTTTAAAGAAGAAGACAATGTTAGGTATCCAGAGTACAAACGATATAGATTACTCCTGCGTTAACCTCAGTAGGCAATTATTGCAACATTAGAAAATAGCCTATAGCTATAGAACGGTCGTGCAATATATACCTTAGTTATTAATTAAATAAAAGTTGCTTTGGCAGTTGGTCATTGGCAATAGCCCACATTCGATATATTAAAATTCTAACATGACTTCGACGCTTCAGAAATAAAATTGCAATTTTTTCACCACTCCACTGTCTCGCAATCCCCAGGAGAGACTTGAGCACAAAGAAAACCAAACCAAATATAGAATCATTTTAAAGGGTGCCTATGGCTAACTCGTGGATTAAATTATTTGGAAAATGAAAGCTGATAATGACCCTGCAATTAGTCTACCGATATTATTTAAGTCTGTCAAATAATGAAAATGTGTTTAAAACAACAAACGAAAGTAAGAAAACAAAAGAAAACGGAAAAAGAAAAGAAAAAAAAGAAAAAGTTTCCTCTGTTGGGAATCGAGCCCCAGACCATAGATGTATAGGATCATCGCTGTATCTATTGCGCCACACCATGAAGGGTGAAAAACCCATGCCAAAATTAACTATTTAACTATTCTGCCGGTAAACGTTGTTTGATGTTGGTAGAGCTTCATTTATGAATAATTCAAAGCTATATTCGAGGTTCTGACGGTGAAAGTTGTATTTTAACTCATTTCGTTGCATTTGAAATGGTCGACAAAGCAAAACCATCTCGAAGTCTCTTGTAGACGGCGTTGTACTACATTTACATGAGAAGAATTAC